GGGTGGCTGCAGCGCACAGCCTGATGATCAGGGTCCATTTTTTAGACACGAAGGGTCATGGGTGAACTTGGTTTACAGAGTAGTAGAGTTCGTTTGCAAGACCTTCACATGTCGGTGATGTAGTTGGCTGGCAATTCACATTCACTGGCACTTGGAGATGTATGATAAAAAATGTTTCATCGATTCGTGATCGCGCCTAGCGGCAAATGCTACTTTATCTCTCCGTAGCAGCCATGACCCAGACAGCCGGAACGCCATGCATTGCTAAAAGCAAATGGAAAAGCAAGGTATGGTGTAAAAAACAGGACCCAAACATGAGAGTGGGATGAGGGTGGTGGGGCAACAGTGAAGTCGTCGCCAGTGGTGTGGAACCTGGAGGAGGGTATCCCCAGATTGCGCAAACGATCATCAGGAGCCCAGCATGTTGGGCGAGGCCGTGCTCATCTTCTCATCTTCCACCATGGGAAAGGGCTGAATCGTGACTGATCAGACAGATTGGACTCGGCCATCCCGTAGTTGCTGTGCATGCCGTGTCTATTGGGACTCGGCGGGACTGATGCTGCCGTTCGTCATGTTGGAGGTGACGGAACCGCGGTGCTCGCCGGATCGCCTGTGGAAGGAGCGGTTGGCGAGTTCCATCTGGCGCTTGGTGTGCTGGTGCATGGAGCGCTGGTAGACGTCGAGGCTGGCAGGAGGAGGAGGAGAGGTGGGGATGGAGACAGAGTAGGCGTCTTGACGGGCGGGCATATTGGCGGTGGGTGAGGTGTGAGTGTGAGTTTTGGGTGGTGGTTGTTGAAGGTGGTTGATGAGATTGTTTGATGGGTTGGATGTAAGTCAGGCTTGCTGATGAATGTAGTGGTGTTGTAGTCGTAAGGTCAAGTGAAGAAAGGCTGCTGGTGCTGATGATACTGAAACGGATCAGGAAAACGGTCGGAAGGTGGAGGGAAGCTGGGTTATTATAGCAAATCTGAGAAGGGGGGCTCTGAGGGAATGATCAGCGGCTTCGGGGAACATGAGGAGACAGCGAGAGGATAGGAGAGGCGAGGCGCTCAACTGCGCTGCGTCGTGTGGCCGCGCTGGGGGGAGATGTTGGCGCGCTCTGGTTCTGGCGCTGACGCTGGCGCCGTCTTGGGCCTGGCACGGGGGGGCAGGCAGTACCTCTGGCTGGGAAGGGTAGCGAGGCGCATTTGGGTACTCTTGGGTACCTACCAGGCTTGCCAGGCTGCCAGGTAGGGTCCCTTCTCGTGTGGACCCCAACAAAGGCAATCCAGGGGTCCAGCCACCACCATATCGACCCCCCTACAGCAGGTACCTAGGTACCTTACTGTCGACTCCTGTCCCACCGACCCTTGGCCTCCCCACCCCCTTCGTCTTGTCGCTCATCATCCTCTGCATCCACCCACCCATTTGCGCGCAGTCCGAGGGCCGTTTTGATCAAAAGATCGGCAGTGATGGACGGCCATCCTAGTGCGGTGAACGTCGTGGAGGTGGAGACGGTGGCCCTGTAATGTCGTAAGTTAACTGGAGACAGAAACCAATCAGGTACCGGTCGCCACGGTCGAGAGACATCCGGAGGGCAGAGATGGGGGTTATGATGCGGAATTGGAGTCGCTTCTGTCGGAAGAGATTTGGTGTTTCGTTGAGGGTATTCAGCGACGGGGGTGCGGACATCAGAATGTGTCTACTTGCCAGCGTCTGGAGGCCTGTGACGACAGACCGACTTGGTAGCAGGTCAGGTAGGCTGAGCTGTAATAGCAAGACGTAGGCTCCAACACTTCTCTCTCTCTCGTGCATCATCCGTTCATGCAAGCAGGCAGTCATAAACTCGGGTATAGCATTGGGCTTGGCTACAAAAGCAGAAGCGTATGAATGGGGGGGGGGCGCCTTTGGGGTGGTGCCGGATGGAGGCAAAACCGAGAAGACGGCTCGAAACGGCAGGACCCTGCAGATCGCTGACAGACGCCGTCCCCTTCAGCGGTGACATGCTTGCCTTGTCTCGCCTGCTCGCCTGGCACGCCTGCTCGCCTGGCACGCCTGGCACGCCGTGTTCGCCCGCCGACGCACCAGGGAAAAGCAGGCAGTTCAGTCAGCGTCACTTGCGGGGGGCGGAGTCAGTGACCTCGCTGCTTTGTCTGTCCTGTCTCGGTGGGCGATCGGCAGACCGAAGTCTGCGCTAGGTGGTCTGTGTGCATGATGTCATTGGACATGGCCTCCTGCGTCTTGCGCCAGCCAATTATCGCTCGTCGTAGCGGGGCGCGTCATGCAGACTACCCTGTGTCTCCCCCTCCCCCGTCGGGAGGCGAAGAGGACCCTGAAAGCAAACATCAATCTCTTCCGCTCACAGTTCACAGCTTTACCTCCCCTTCCGCTCCGCTCCTCTGGACGAGCTTCCTCCCTGTGAATCGTCTTGGATTGCTGTACACCCTCTAGACCTGATCGGCGCCGCCCATCCCAGGGTCCCCCTTGGCTTTTCCCCAACAAGCGACCTCCCGGTGATGCCATTCGCAGTCTCTGTCTGTTTCGGACGGGCTCGCAGCTTGCCAGCCCATTGGCTTGATCTCCATGCCCATGGGGCCCAGCTCGGGATCGTGAGCGGCGGCGACTTCATTCTCACTTTCCGCTGTCCCACCAACATGGGATTTCCCGCCGTTCTTGGGGGTGCGCCATTTGAAATTGTTAGAATTTGCCATCTTTTGCCTCCCAAAGGCTGGTCAGGTGCACAATGGCAATCTCGGTTCCCACATGTACCGACATCGAGGCCACGGCAGAATGCCCAAGGTGGTCACAACCGGTACTGACATCCAAAGGCGGATGCAGATGGTTGCTGCCAAGGCCCACCCACCCTCGAACTGACAGCTATCAGCTCGTCAAGTTGCATCAGTAGCAGAATATGGGGTCCGACAAGGCTGCCAGGTGGAAAGGCAGTTCTCGAGACACAACATCGTAGGGATCACCAAGACGACGCGGACCAATGCATACCGAGCAAACAGCTCATCCGTCCTGTCTGCCATCTGCTGAGGGGGTGCCGATCAGTAGGGGCAGGCAAGCAAAGCCAGTGGAAAGGCGGAAGCCAAACAAATGTGCCATGACGGCAGCGGCAAAACACCAGACGTCAATACCGACGACACAGAGCCTCGCCCGACGAGTATCCGTATACGAACAACAACAAAAAAAACCACACCACCAGACGGCCCCAGAATTTTCAGCCAGCAACGTAAATGGCAGAACAACCCAACCGTCGAAACGTCAGCAATGGAGGAGCTCTGGTGGACAGAAGGTGGAGGACGAGTGTCATCGAGTCAAACTCCAGTGAGGTCAGTCGCCGCCACATGATGTCAGCCCTGTCCAATCAATGCCGCGTAAAGTCCTCTGGCCCCACCCTCTCGACGGCAAACCCCTCGCCCGTCTCCGTCACCGTTTCCACTTGCGCGACGACAACGACGGCCACCCAAAGCTCCTGCCTCGTGGTTTGCCCATCTTTGCCTCCATTCATGCCATCACTTGCATCACCCCCCCTTCCCTTTCCCGACGACACAGGTATCCATCGTTCGTCCGTACGACATCCACCCGGACGAGCCCTCACATTTCAGAAGCCCAGAACGCGAAGGATTTCCGATTGACGTCGGCTTGGCTATGACTATCCGTCTGCTCGCCCCTTTTCTCAGGAGCCTTGGCCCGAGCCCTTGTGTCATGATCTTGGCGATTGCGGCTCCTTTGACAGCGGTAGCCAAGCATCACGTAGTTTGATGTCCGCCATTCGAAGAGGCACCATACCAGCGACGCAAATCTTCGCCCTTCCAACCTTGTCTGGGCGTCTGGGCGTCCGGGAGCTGGGGGATGCGCAGCAGCGACGTCGAGGGGCTGGGCCAAAACAGATCACCCAAGGCCGCACTAGGCATCTCTCCGGGATCTGCAACACCGCTGGCGTCACACGTGACGACATGGCTCCTTTCTAAACCTCTCTGTCCATCGTCGGCCTTCGAAGGCTACCACACGGCAATGCAAGCAAAACTAGCCGTCGCCCGGATGTTCCAATTCGCGGCTGTGGAAGAGGGGTCTTGTCATCAGCATGGGGAAGAATGCGTCCTGCGCTCGTGGCACCCATGGACACATTCAGCGTAAGCTCGTCTCGCCCGGGAGGGTTGCACGCTGACGACCTGCGATGAGGCTCAGTGACATGGCCTGTCATCCCACCGCACCACACGCTCCCGCGTCCGACGTCACTTATGATGCGGACCGTCTCCATGGCCACTGCCATCCCGGTGCCCATCCTTTTATGCCCCATACGCAAGCGGTCGGTCCACGAACATCACAGCCGCGTTGATGCTGTATTGTTAGGCATGATGGAGCCGGTGGTGCCGGCATAGTACTCGACAAAAAGTGGCCAACCACAAGGCTCTACAGTCGGACAGCGAGGCATGGGCCGGCGCTGCTCTATTGGCAAATTGGGGGGCTCACTCATATGGTGGGACATTTTTTTGCCGGCCACTTGCCGCCTCCATGTGGATGTGCATGCTAACGGATAAAAATTCCAGTGATCATCCTGCCCGCTCGCGCTTGTTGAATCCTCCTCCAACTCCATGTCTTCAGGGGTTGATTGCTCAACTTTGGCTGGCTTGACGCCTAGCATGCGGCAAGGTTTGGAGCTAAGCTGCACTTTTATTATACAAGCCCAGGTCCCTGCCTCAACAACATGCTCACTATGCCCCCCGCGCGAGAGCAAGACCAGTTGGGGATCTAGAGATGGCGAATATCCTTCCAATCTTCCTCATGGATGGCAGATGCGACGATCACCCACGCACTCATGATCTGATATTTCGATCTGATCTCACCAGAGGACCCCTCTCCCAAAGCCAACTCGCAGCCATCATCGCCTGATGTTCCACGGCCCACGCCTGAGGCTGCTTCATCCCGGATGGCCTACGGGTGGCCGACCTAATCGCGCCGATCAGGGATCTTCTTCTGCCCGAGCGGGGTCGAAACTCGCCTGTACTTGATGGTCAACGATATCCCAAGCGGCTTGTCTAGTACAGATATGTTTCGCCCCTCCCCCGCTCTTTCGACCCAAGATCGCCAGCCATGCGGCCGTTTGCTGTGGTGCCGTTCGTGCATCAGTTATCATGGCGCAAGTACACGACAGCCAATGAACCGTATGGATGTTGAGGGGAAGTTTGCTTCTGTTTGTTCCGCCATCCGTGAGGAGTGCTTCGTTGATGCTCGCGACTACCCGGTCAGGCGCAGAACAGTCCTCTGAACATGCAAGCGGGTTGCAAAAGAATGGCAGACGAAGTGCTCGGGTACCTAGTTCCGCATCTTCTCCTAACAGAAGGACCCTCTCGCACGGCATGCTCGTTGATATGCTGTTCATCTGAGTAGTCTGCCTTTCATTTTGCAACCCGCATGGCAAGGTACAGTGCGGTGATGGCCATCGATTGCGTGTTTGCGCCGCCAGCGTCGGGAGTTGCTGGTGGCTGCATGTAGTGAGCCGCAATGTTAAGACGAAGGCGGCTGGCTACCCGCGAATGCTAGCCGCGTCATTCGAGATGAAGCATCTCGATGAAGCAGCTCGGGTACGTGAGGTCGCCCTCCGACTGAGTGACTGGTTTTTCAAGCCTGATGCTACCGCCCAGGCAAGTCACATGTGGTTTGGAGCGCGGAGTGAGACACCTAAATGTGATCTTGGCCGACTGCTCGGTACGATGGTGCTGTCATAACTCATCAGTGCTTCGATTCTTACCTCTTTAATCCTTTTCGTCCTGGAGGCATCATAGTATCTAGCCTCGACTTGCCCCAACTGAACACTACACTTTTTTCTTGACTCATTCGGGCCAAATCACAAGCACTGCATCAAGCTAGGAGATGTGTGCGGGATGCGGGAATGGCACCCCGCGCAACAGATATCGCAAGATCTGGCGATCGGACCTTGCCATTGAGACCCCTTCCGCGTCGCACCATGCTGGACATCCATAACGGGAGAAGCACGTCAGCACCACCTTCGGTTCACGAGCTAAATAGCTAGCGGAGCCTTGACTCGGAAACAAAGTTTCGAGCAATGCCGATCGGCATCCGGGGCGCGCAGAGATGGGACGAATTGGTCGTTTCAGATGTGCGATGCTGTGGTGCACTGCGGCTTTGGTCCCCTCACTCTACGCTGCCCCAGGATGCGATTGACTTGAGATCATCCTTAAGTCGGCTGCATCGACATGTTGAAAGAGATGCGTCGCTGAAGACGATCTGAGTTTTACCGGCGACTGCACATGTGCGTTGCAAGGACATGGCGATGGCCCCATACTGAGAGGTTGGTTCTTTGCTGTATCAGCACTGTTGAGCACCTGTTTCACGCAGAGGCGTTCGGGTTTCGGGCTGGCTGAGGAACGGACGAAGCTCTCACCGGAACCGAGAATAGCGTCTCCCGTCGCAGATGCGTCTTCTCTCATTTAGATGGGCGTCGCTGCAAATCCTGGCTCGTGTCTATCTTTTCTCTTCCCTTTGACACGATCTTGGCCTGGCGTCGGTCGATGTTCCCTTACTCACGACGCATTACGAATCTTGTTTTTTAGGGGTGGTTTGCATCATACGTCTTCTTCTCCGTCTTCGAGTTTCTTCTTAATATTTCTCGACATGTTTTCTACATCGCTCATCGCCCTGGCGGCGGCGTCGTTGGTCTCGGCGGCCACACCGCCGGGCTTCCAGCCTGCGGGACAAGGCGCGCTCATCATCTCCTACGGCGGCATCGCGGCCATGAACGGCGTCAATCTGCCAAAAGAGTGTACGTATCTCCGCGACCCGAAACCTCGGCAGATGCTGACAAGCACAGCAACGGCCAAGGTGCCGCTCATCGCGACAGAGCAGCCGCTGCAGGGCACGTACGCCATCCTGATGATCGACATGGACATACCGACGAACGCGCCGCCGCAGACCAGCACACTGCTGCACTGGGCGCAGACGGGCTTCACGTCGGCGCAGACGCCCATGGTGCTCAACTCGACGGCGGGGCCCAAGACGGTGTACGTCATGCAGAACCTCGCGCAGCAGCCGCCGCTCGCCGAGTACATCGGGCCCAACCCGCCGGCGCGGGCGCCCCTCGCGCACCGCTACGCCTTTGTCGCCGTCGACCACACGCAGATCACGCAGCAGGGGCTCGGCGCGCTGTCGCAGGCCGCGAGCGAGCGGCGCGGCTTCGACGCCGTGCGGGCGCTCGCGGCGGCGGGGCTGCAGATGAACGCCGCTGTGGCGGGGGACTACTTTATCGTGCGCAATACGGGACCCATTCGCGACGGCAGCGGCAACGGCAGCGGCAACGGCACGGTGGGCGGCGGGCAGCAGCAGCAGCAGCCGCCGCCGCCAGCGTCGCCGGCGCAGCCTGGGGGTGGTCTCGGCCAGGGACAGCCGGTGCCGGGACAGCCGGGGCTCGGTCAGCAGCAGCCGGTGCCGGGACAGCCGGGGCTCGGTCAGCAGCAGCCGGTGCAGGGAGGCGGGGGCACGCAGAACGGAAACCGACCGGCGGCGGGATCAGCGACGTACGGGCCTCCAGGCCGGGTGGGCGTCATGGGCTTGAGTCTCGCTGTGGTGGCGGTGGTCTTCATGGGACTGGCATAGGCGCGTTGTCTGAAGGGGAGACGGGGCGGGGTCCTGTCAGGCCGACGGCCCGCGTTGAGTTTCAGTAGACAGGAAATGGAAGATTTGCAACCCAAGCCCTTCGCTGCGCGGACATTGGCAATGCGAACGCGAGCTGCATCGGTCAGATGTGGGCGAGAAATGACACCACCGCCAAAGTGCCCGGCGCAACCTTCACCTCTCCAACTCGACGTGCCGCCGACTTGATCACGATCACGTGCTCACGTGCCCTCGTCACGCCCTGCCTTGTTGTCGTTACCGCGCGCGCTAGACCAGATCTGTCGCCGGCTCGACCTGCCGTTTCGTGCACCAACAGCGCCGCAATGCAACGATCAGCCTTTTTCACGTCTGTCTCCTGCATGGGTCAAGTCCCCAACTCCGCCGCGCGCGCGAAGGACAGTATTTTATCCCGTTTTCTTCGGCCTAGTTACCCTTGTACCAGGATCACAAGCTATTTTTCCCCCTTCGGCATGGGGGTCGCGACTAAGCTTTGTTTAGTCATTCACAGCATGCCGGCAGATTTGATGCCGATGGTACCCTGAGCACATGTGGGATGAGCTGCCGCCTGGGCGTAAGGCGCCATGTAGGATTGTGGGATGGGCACCGTCGTGGGCGGAGTTTTGGCAATGTGGGATTTCTAATGAGGCTCAAGCTGACATGGACGAGACGCCATCGGTACATGGTGCCGGGGTTCGTGGTATGAGACACGATGCGACGGTGGCAGCATGGGATGGGATGGAATGGTATATAGGGGTCCTTGGTGCCGTCTGTGGTCGCGTTTGACGAGTTTCTGGGACATCACAGCTTCAGCACGACTACTTGCCTGCTCCTCTCTGACACACCTCGACACCAATCACCCGTCACCACAACGCACCTGTGTCAAACCCAACCACCAAACACCGCAGCCGCAATGACCAAGACACTCGTCGTTCTCGGCGCTGGCGTGGCCGGCACGAGCATCGCCCACCGCGCCCTCAAGAACACAGTGCCCAAGGCCAAGGACCTCAAGGTCATCATTGTCACCCCCAACACCGACCAGTACGTCCCCAAGGCAGAACGAAAAGAAGATAAAAACTGACCACGGCAGCTACTGGAACCTGGCTTCCGTGCGCGGCATCGTGCCGGGCCAGTACGATGACGAGACGCTCTTCACGCCCCTCGCGGCCGCCTTTGCCCAGTACCCCAAGGACCGCTACGAGCTCGTCATCGGCTCGGCCGAGACGCTGAACCCGGACGCCTCGACCGTCGTCGTGCGCACCGTCTCCGGCACCGAGCGCACCATTGCCTACGACGCCCTCGTCATCGCCACGGGCTCGCGGGCCCGGGACGACATGCCGTGGAAGGAGCTCGGCACGACGGACCAGACCAAGGCGCGCCTCGGCGCCCTGCGCAAGCAGATTGCGGCCGCCAACAAGATTGTCGTTGCCGGCGGCGGCACGACGGGCGTCGAGGTGGCCGGCGAGGTGGGCTTTGAGTTTGGCCGCAAGAAGGACGTCTACTTTGTCATTGACAAGGAGCTGCCGCTCGGGGACAACATCCGCGAGGACGTGCGGCGCCTCGCGCGGAAGGAGCTCGAGAAGCTCGGCGTCAAGGTCATCGACCGGTCCAAGGTGACGGGCGCGCGCGAGAACGGCACCGGCAAGACGATCCTGCAGCTGACCAACGCGTCGGGCGCGACGTCCGAGCTCGAGGCCGACGCGTACCTGCCGACGTTTGGCCTCGTGCCCAACACGAGCTTCGTGCCGGCGAACCTGCTCGACAAGAACGGCCTCGTGCGCCAGAACACCGAGTTCAAGGTCCCCGGCTACGACAGCCTGTACGTCGTCGGCGACGCCGGCGACCTCGAGAGCAGCACGGCCTACGTCGCCGGCCTCCAGGCCACCTTCCTCTCCAAGAGCCTGCACCACCGCTTCACCGGCGAGGGCAAGGTCGGCACCTACACGCCGGATCCCAAGGTCGTCGCCGCCGTGACCATGGGCCGCAGCCGCGGCACCGGCCAGATGGGCACCTTTAAGCTGCCGAGCCTCGCCGTGTGGCTCCTCAAGGGGCGGTACCTGGGGACCAACTACAACAAGGACGCGGCCAACGGCAAGAAATAAGGGAGCCGCGCGTCGTGTGTGCCTGAGCTTGTCGGTGGCGGTTGGCCTGCCTTACCTTGGCTCGATCAGCGGCCGGGGTTTATAGATGGATTCCCAGCTTGGCGTAATTTGCTTTTTTTGCGTTTTAGATACCTTAATCGAGTTCTGAATCGAGCTTTTTTGTCAAGTCCAAAAGACAGGAATAGCCAATGGAAGTGATGACGGGACTCAATCTCTGTGCATCCTGAAGTGGTGATGGCTCCAAGGCCAGAGCATCAGCGGGTGGGCGACGAAAGACACTGACAAAGGCGCTGACATAAGACGCTGACATAATATACTGACAAAAAACGGCAGCATCGAGAGGCCACCGCCTTCTACAAACGGACTAGCGCACTCCAGCCGCCTACAAACATTGCGAGAAAAAAATCCCGTTCTACCTTTCTCTTTTCCCTTTCTTCTTCAGATCAAAAGCGAACAGAGCTGCCACGACCGACATCCAGCTCCCTACGGTGTCGCGTTGCCTTCTCTCCTTCGGGAGAGACGCTCTGGAGACCAATTTATCCCTTGAAATTAGGAAGTTTCTCCTCTAGATGAACCCGAGTGGGGGAGAAATGCTGAAGATGGGGGACAGACCATTGTCCTTGTGAAAATTGTGTGAGCGAGACACCTATTGGTCCTGTGCGCCACCGCCTGCGCCTGCGCCTTGCCACGGCTCAGACGCCACAAGAGGCTGGTGCGTTCCAACGTCAAGCCGTCGCTCGACGATCTCTCACCAGAACCTCCAACCGCCATGTCAATATTTCCCATGTCTTGGCGTTCGACGAGGCAACGAGCCGCGCAAACTGGGCTTCTCCCCTAATACTGCTGTGATGAGACAGCCCGCCACGTGACGAATCGCCCGAGGCACGCCTATGACGCTGGAAGCCTCTCCTTCGAACACCCCACGGAATGCCTGTTGATCCAGCAGCGCTGAGTACCTGCATCTCGACCCTCCCGCATAAGGCGATCCCCGTCGAAGAAGCCTTTGACGGAATGTGGCCCAATGTCGAAGCATTCCCACAACCCCTTTCCATGTGGCTGGGTCGCCCCGTCGACGCTCCGTTGTTCAAGTGACGGCGGACGCTAGAATGCATGACAGCGTTTGCGTGCCGTTCTGCGGCTTCCGGATCGCGGTGGCATCCCGCCCGTCTCGTAGATCTGCGGGAGCATCTATGCTTAAAACCTTGCCGTCTTGTCGACCTCCTCGATGCTGAATCTCTGGCACACCCATTCAACACAACAATATTCGACATCCACGACCGATTACGACTACCACGACAACTTTACGACACAAGCAGGACTTGGCCTTTTCGTACTCGACATTGACAACTCGACCCCTTGTTCTTCTTTTTCGACCCAACCCATCAACTCGCCAGCCGAGTGCCCGCCAAACCCACATCTCAGCATCACTAACCAACCAACGTCATCATGGTGTATGTCCCAGCTAGACGCTCCCTCACAGACAGACGCTGACATCGACAGCTACCCCGCCGTCCTCTCGTCGACCTTTTACGACTGCGGCACGGCCGTCACCATGGCCACCGAGACCATCTGGACCACGACCTGGACCACCAACTTGCTCGCCGCCAACCCCCAGTCGACCTGGGACGCCTGCTACACCGTGACCGAGACCATCACCGGCAACCCCGCAGACTACACCCGCCCCGCCCTGCCCCCCTTCTTCGTCGAGACCAAGGTCGCCTGCGGCGTCTGCGAGGGCGGCGAGATTGTCATCACAGCGCCCGTCGCCGGCTTTACGCCCACCGTCCACATTGAGGGCAACGGCGTCTTTGCCGACGGCGCCGTGCCCGGCCAGGTTGCTCCCGCGCACGCCCTGCCCACGTACGGACCTGAGTACCCGGCCGAGCCCCTTTCTCTCGAGGGCGAGGTGCCCGCCGGTGCTGCTCTTGCTCCTGAAGCAGCAATTCCCGCTGGTGCCCCTGCTCCTGAAGGCGAAATCCCCGCTGGTGCCCCTGCTCCTGAAGGCGAGATCCCCGCTGGTGCTGCCCCTGCCCCCGAAGGAGCCATTCCCGCTGTTGCCCCTGCTCCCGAAGGAGCCGTTCCCGCCGGTGCCCCTGCTCCCGAAGGAGCCGTTCCCGCCGGTGCTGCCCCTGCTCCCGAGGGTGAGATCCCAGCGGCCGCGCCCCCCGCCCCTGAAGTCGCCAGCAATGTCGGCCAGGGCGTTCCCGAGCCGGAGGGCGACTTGGCCATCACCGGCGAGCCCGCGCCAGAGAACGACATCACCGTCGGTCAAGGTGTCCCCGCCGAAGAGGAGAGCGACGTCACCACGGTCGCCGGTGTCCCTGCGGACTCGGCCGACATTGGCACCCCTGCCGCGCCACCTGCCGAGAGCGATGTCATTGACGGCTTCGTCCAGGCTTCGGCGCCGGCTGTGCGGAGCAGTTTCGGCGTGCTCGCCTTCAGCGCCTTCGTCGGCATGATGATCTGCATGTAACGGTGACTGTATTTCAGTGCGGTTGGCCTAATTGGGATTTGGAATTTCGGAGTCATGGAGGGAGGGCATCATTGGCATTTGCGTGCTTTCTTCTTTCGTGCTTTTTTATTATTTTCCTTTGGACTCGGGAGCTGGTCACCTGGGAGGGAGTCGGTTTGATTATGCCATGAAGTTGATGGACGGATATGTAGACATGAGTAGGATCTAATGATCACCCCAAGAATAGAAGTAACAATAACAAGAATGATAAGTCTTGAGTTTAATCCAGTGACCTATTTCTCCCTGCAGAACAACAGATGAATAAATGCAATCGTCAATTGAAGAGGTGTAGGATACCAAACACATAGGAAAATCCCAAGGACGCCCGTCATAAAGCGTATCGTGTGCTCATCAGCTGGTGCCAACACCAAAACCCAGCCGTCTCAATCATGCGCAGGCCGTCACTGGAACACGCCGTCCTCGCCTTTGCTCTTGTGCTGCCCGCGCAGGAAGCCCTCAATCTTGTCGTCGTCGAGGGGCCGCTCGGGCGGGCCCGGCGGGTTCTCGTTGGCCTTGTCGTCCTTGTCCTTCCTCTCGGCCTTGGGGTCGCCGAGGACCTTGGCCGCGACGGGCACGTATTCGACGACTGGTCCTGTCAGCGTGTGCGTGAAGCAAGAATAGCGTGTCTGTGAAGCAAGAAGAATAGCGTGAAGAAAGGGGAGCAGAGCAGAGCAGGGTGCAGAAAAGGAGCAGAGCAGAGCAGTGCAGAAAAGGAGCAGAGCAGAGCAGTGCAGAAAAGGAGCAGAACAGCAAAAACACACCCTTTTCAACAATGGGATGCATCACGCCGTCGTTGGCGTCCTCGGGCTGGCGCGCCTCAAAGGCCTTTTGGTCGAGTTTGTCCTTGTAGCTCATGTCGTCCTCGTGCATGCCGACTTGCTCGGGCGCTGGGTTGAAGCGGGGGACGGAGCGGTTGTTCATTGTGGCTGTGTCGGGGGGCGGCGTATTTTGTACCTTGTCTCGCCGGGCAGGGCTGGGCTGATCGGACGCCGCTGGTTCGTTCGGAGGATAGCGAGGGACGGTAGCGCCGACGTACGTCACAATTAGCGTCGGTGGCTGTCAATGTCGGGTTGCACAGCTTTAGTGGTGTTTTCGTCGTAGGGCGGGGTGGGTATGGTCTATCGTTGTGTTCGTCTGGTTTCGAAGTTCGTGATGATTCGGATGCAGTTGATGCCAGCACAGAGAGAGAAGAGAACAGCAAGCGGACAGAGCAGCTGCTGGGCATTGTGACTAGAAGTAATACCAGACCCCCCCGTTGCCCCCCCTCGAATGACATCCGCTTCACCCAGCAAGAGCAGCGCAAGGCTCTTGGCTGGCACGGCTACCGGTCGAGGGATTGCGCGGCCCAGCTGGTGATGGTGGGAACACCGACGTAAGGCCCAGGCCAGGCGCCGTCCAGGCTTGCCAGGGGACAGAGGGGAGGGGGGCCCGGGGCGCCTACAGGGGACTGACGCTGCCGGTTCCAGGGCATTACAGGGCATTACAGGGCATTACAGGGCAGTCGGAGGTGGGCACGCTCCCCTGGAGCACGAAACTGACGTCACATGGCGGGGGGCGCTAGGCACCGTGCGGCATGCGGCTCTTGGCGACGGACGCTAAGATAACCTAAAATGGCCCCCAACGTTTCCGTTTCTTATCGTGCGCGCGCAAAAGTCGGTTTTGACCCCTCCAAGAGTGTTGGGTTGCTCCTGCGCGCATTGCTCCTGCACGCAGCACGCCAAACATCACGACAACCTCGCTCGCTGCCTCGCCCCCCAACACCATGTCGCCCATCCCCATCACCATCATCACGGGCTTCCTCGGCTCCGGCAAGACGACGCTCATCCTCAACCTCCTGCCGCAGCTCAAGGCGCAGAACCCAGACTACAAGCTCGCGCTGCTGAAGAACGAGTTTGGCGACCTCGCCGTCGACTCGCAGCTCGCCTCGTCGGCCGCCATCTCGGGTGTCCAGGAGCTCCTCAACGGCTGCATCTGCTGCAACCTCGTCGGCCAGCTGAGCGTCGCCCTCGCCGACCTGCGCGCCCAGGTGCGCCCCGACCGCATCGTCATCGAGACGTCCGGCTCGGCCTTCCCCGCGACCCTCGCCCTCGAGATCAACCGCCTCGCCCGCGAGACGGGCGGCCAGTACGTCCTCGACGGCGTCGTGTCCGTCCTCGACGTCGAGAACTGGCAGGGCTACGACGACACGAGCTACACGGCCCGCGTCCAGGCCCGCTACACCGACCTCATCGTCCTCAACAAGTGGGAGGCCTGCGACGAGGACCGCCTCGACGAGGTCCGCGACCGCATCGGCGACCTCGAGGTCGAGACGCCCGTCGTCAGGAGCACCAAGGGCCGCGTCGACGTCGACCTCGTCTTTGGCGTCGACGGCGGCCTCGCGCAGACGCTGACCGACGACAAGCAGCAGCAGCAGCAGCAGCAGCAGCAGCAGCAGCACGCCCACCACGACGGCGACGGCGACGGCGACGACCACGACCACGCGCACGACCACCAGTCCGAGGTCGAGGTCCTCTCCGTCGAGCTCCGCGGCCCCGCAACCGGCGTCAAGGCCGACCGCCTACTGTCGCTCCTCAAGACGGCCCCGAAAGACGAGGTCTACCGCATCAAGGCCGTCCTCGACGTCGCCGGCACCGTCCGCGACTCGGACCAGGACGACGCCAACCCCACGCCCCCGCAGGACCGCACCCGCCAGATCCTCAACTGGGCCTTTGGGCGCTGGACCTTTACGCCGCTCGCCGCCGGCGCCGCCGAGCACGCGTCGAGCGGCGACGTGCCGCTGCGCATGACGCTCATCCTGGCGCGCTGCGAGGCCGACAAGTGGCAGAAGAAGCTCGAGGCCGGGTCGTTCCTCGAGCTCGCGGGCGACGAGACGGGCGCGCTCGTCGTCAGGAGGATCCTGTGAGCTGGTTGGTGCTGGGCATTGCATGGAACATGAGACAATGAAGTGAACGAAGCGTAGAGCATCATGAGCATGGGACCTGTGTGGCATGAGGTCCTTGCTGGGCGGTGTGCTAGAAAACAGTAGACAGAGTTCGATGGCGTAGACTACGGGCGGCGAGCGGTTATTCATAGACTTTCTCATTTCAGCATTCCTTTTCTTCTTTAATCTCCTTCCAAGCTGAGCATCTCTATGCACAGGGTATCCATGCTAGTCCTACACTGCTGTATACATACACACGTACTCTACACGACAAAGTTGACCGTCTTGGCGCCCCTCGCCACAATGACCCGCTTGGGCGACCTGACATCCCACGGCCCGCTCGAGAACTTGGTCCGCCCCTCTTCCGTCTTGAACACCTCGCCCACCATCCAGTCTCGCAGTGCATCCCCCGCCAGCCCCGCCAGCGGCTTGGGGATCTGCACGACGCCGCGGACCTTGCCGTTGACCTGGACGGCGCACGTCTGCCTCCGCGGCTGCAGCAGCGCCGCCGTGTCGTCCGCCGTCGGGAACGCCGCCGACGTGAATATGGATTGCGTGCCCGGGTGCAGGAGACTCCAGCACTCCTCGGCAAACGCCGGCGTGATGGGCGCCAGCATGCGGAGAATCGCCGACGTGGCTTCCCGACGAACGACAGGGCTGGACGCCTCGCTGTCGAGCAGCGTGTTGGTGAGGCTCATGAGGTCGGAGACGATCGTGTTCATGGGGTAGACCTTGTTGTACGAGTCGGTCACGGATGTGATGGTGCTTTGGACGGCCCGCCAGAGCGCAGCCTCGGTGTCCCACTTGGCCAGCTCTGCCTCCGTCATCGAGTCCACACGGCTGGAGCCATCGGTGAAGTATGCGACCGCCGTTTCGTCTGATGACGCCTGGGCTGCCGTGCCCTTGACGTGTTCGAACAGCCTGTTCAGCCAGCGTGTGACGCCGGCAATCTTGTCCTCGTCCCAGTTGAGCACATCGCTGACCGGGGCCTGGAAGAGCATGTGGGCGCGTGTGGCGTCGGCGCCGTGCGTCTCGATGCAGACGGTGGGGTCCACGCCGTTGTGCTTCGACTTGCTCATCTTCTCGAAACTGACATTGGCCGTGAGGCCCGTTGCGACAACCTTCGGGTTGGAGGCATCGCTGAGGTCGACTTCGTCGGGTTTGAGGAATTTGCCCGTCTCCGGGTCGCTGTACGTTTTGCCATGGACCATGCCTTGGGTGATGAGCCTCTTGAAGGGCTCGTGACTGATGGCTTCCGAATTCGTTTCCGAATCCGGCCCTCGAGGGAAGAGATCTGTTGACGCCATGAACTTGTAGATGAAGCGAGCATACAGCAGATGCAGAATGGCATGTTCGATGCCGCCGAGGTAGAGGTCCACGGGCAGCATCTTGGTGGCCTCCTGAGAGAACGGAAGCTCCTTGTTGTGGGGGTCGGCGAACCTGGCATAGTACCAGCTGGAATCCACAAAGGTGTCCATGGTGTCAGTGTCCCTCTTCGCTGCGCCTCCGCACTCGGGACAGCTGGTTTCCGACCATTCGGGCGTCCTCTCGAGGGGGTTACCAGGCTGGCCACCGGCCCAGTGGTCGCTCACGTTGGGCAGCTTGACCGGCAACTGGTCTGCGGGAACAGGCACCGGCCCACAGGAGTCGCAGTGAATGATGGGGATGGGAGTACCCCAGTACCTCTGCCGACTGATGAGCCAGTCCCTGAGCCGCCACTTGTCCGTCGGCTTGGCGAGGTCGGCGGCTTCGAGAACGGAGACGAGCATCTTGCCTCCGTCGATGGACTTTTTGCCTTTGAACGGGCCACTATGCTCCGTCATGATGCCGTGGTCCACCATGGGCTCGTTGGCCATGGCTGTTGTCGACTCATCCTCAGAAGCTGCCAGCACAAAGCGCACGGGCTCATCGTAGTGATGTTCCTTCCAAAAGGCATGATCCCGCACGTCGTGGCCCGGAACACCCATGACGGCACCCTCGCCGTAGTCACCGAGCACATAGGATGCCACATAGATGGGCAGCGAAGCCTTGGTCGCATCTG